AAACATGCATAGCGTTCTGCTGTTGATGTGCTTTCCTTCCACCTTGTAAATGCAACATAAAGAATACTTATGCATAGATTCTAATACCTTACTTTTTAAAACAAAATGAGTGATGTTAGCTTCCATTTCATACCATCTTCTCTGTTATGTGATGCGGGCACAGCACACTCGTAGAGCATGCTCTGTCTCATAGAAGAAAAACTTCCTACTCATATTGCCAAATATGTGCTCTGATACTCAGCGAGACATATTGTTTGAACAAGCACATTTTGTGACTTATTTGTCATACTTGCCTGTTGGTTTTTTTAATAGTGTAAGTATTCATATTGAGCAAATCTCATTCTCTATCTGAAGTGAGACAGAAAGAGATTTTACCTTTCTAGGAATGGGAAATGGTACATTGGCTAATCATGAAGTAGCTGCAGTTACATCTTTTATAGATCAGATCCTTGGCTAGTATAAATAGGTGTACCTTGCATTATGTACATGATGGAAAAATAGGAGCTCCAAAACAATGCCTTATGAATTGGATAAAATCATCAATAGTAAGTTCCTCCTAGTCTTGGAAACAGCATACTGAAAAATGGCAACTGCCTAGGGATGTATGGCCATGAGGCTTTCAAAGGAGCTGCACCGTTGAAGTGTGTTTTATTTACTCACGAAAATGCTGTGTTAGGCTTTTGTTCAAAGTTCTTATGCTGGCTGTACTGGCAGCAGAAGAGGCTAGCACCATGCTGCCTCTTTAAAGTCTGTGTGGGGAGGAGAGCATGCATGAGAGGTTGAAGAGAAGAAAATGGTGAAGAACGAACCTGAAGAGTCAGGGGTAAGAAGTGAAAATTAGAGGGATTCCCCTACCAGACCCAGGTTAATTTCAATTTAATAAATAGGCCTAGGGAATAAGTTTCTTGTTTTGAAGTAAATGGAAATTAACAGTCAGGATTAAAGTGGGTTTAGTACAGAAGTTACCTGACTAGTTGTTGAGCAATAATGATGTTTATCTTTTATTGCTGATCTACAAAGGAGGGGGAAAATATTCCCCAACTTTACATATAAAAGAACAGGTTTCTGATTTACTAACCCATATTCCCTTTCCCACTGTCCAAATAAAGAGGGATCATATAGACAGTCTTTTTGGTGCTATTAAGAATAGTAATAACTATTCCTTTGTGGGAACAACGAGCACTGCTAGTTGTCCGAGATGTCCTGCAGCTGCTGTTGTCAAATCCTAGCTCTGTTCTTTGAAAACAGGACAAGTTGTAGGAAATGTTGCACACAGTGGTTAGGGATGGCTGCCTCTAATGAAATTTATGAAATTGACACTTATGAAACAAAGGCAAAAAGAGCTAGGAAAAATGTGGGGAGGTTGGGAAGACAAAGAAGGGAAGGGGTGCCATCAGTGACCTATGCGGCCTATACCGATACAGTCAGATTGGTGCTGGAGACTTAGCTGAAGTCTTGATTGTCCTGTGAAAGGGAGAGAGTACAGGCCTCAGAAGATACCGGTTTGTCAGCACTCCTGAAATTTATTATTTCTAATCTACCTTTGTTCCTCATCCTGATTTTCCAGAGATTTCTTGAGCACCTTAGAAGATGTAAGACTCCTTGCTTTGGTTGTTTTTCTGGCCAGCAGGATTGGGCCATTATTTTTCTGTTACTTTCTCCTTTTGTCAGTTCTGATCTTATGACAGTTCTCCTGCAGTTTCCTGAAGACTGTCTTGTCTGAAATGCTTTATTATTCTACCTCAGGTTTATAAGGCACTTTGTAATAGGCTGTATTAGAGGTTTAAATACCCTAGAAGAAAGCAAGCTCCACTGATTTCTGTCTAGTTGCAAAGTACGGACTTTTTAAATACAGAAGGGAGTGACCTGTGGCTGGGTATCTAGTGCCGTTTTAGATCTCTTGCCTCCAGATGCTGTGAAAACAAAGGCATGAGTCACTGTAGACCCTCTCACATATGTGCCAAACCATCATGGATGTCACAGATACCAGGGGGTATATAGGCACCCGTGTTTAGGCATCTGAATTGCTCCCAGGAGATCAGAATGTCTGCAGTAGCCAAAAGCGTAAAGACACAAAGAGAATTGCTCTGTCATCAGTGTGATGAAGTGGGTGTGTTGTGAGATTGGCAGCAGAGATTTTTTTGTTTATTTTCACTGTAGTGACACCTATGTTTTTGCCGCCACAACTAACGTCAGATTCTTCCCTGCCTGTATTCTAACCATGAAAAAAGCAGTTTCTTCCTAGCCATGATGAAAGAGAATCAAATATAGGTGTATATATAGTCTCTTGCTTATTGCTAATAGCATAAACTCCACATAGATCTGTTGTAGTGGGCAAATGCTCAGCAATTTAAACAACTTTAGAAGAACTTAAGAGTATTTGAACCTCCAAGAGGCAATACATTTTTACTTATTCCAGCCTTCTGAGTAATACTTTATCAAGAAAGATGAGTTGGTGGTTAACAATTCAGTGTATTTCACTTTTTCTCCTGAGAGCTGACCTCTCAGAGTAAAAAATGACAATGAAAGAGACTAAGAGTTTTTAAAGATTAAAGTAGAAAGCCTTATTTCACTGGTGTGAGCTTCTCCTTGCAGGTCAGTTGTGTTGGGAAATATTCATCATTGAAGCAATTACATCTGTAATGAAATGTCATGTTTTGGTAGATAATCTTTTATGTTCTGACATTGAATGGTACCTCAAGTTGTGTTTTCTGGGCTGGACAGGGTGTATCTTACTATCTCACATTTCTATAATGTTAAGCAATTAATAGGATGGTGGAAGACAGCATCCATGATACAATCTCACATCAAAATGTCAGTGTTGCCAAAAGACCTATAGTACTGAAAACATTATAATGTTATATAATGGTCTTCTCAGTAGAAAACAGGATCTGGTCTTTACAGTTAGGGCTTAGTTCTATACCCACTCTGTGACAAAAGCTGGGTGCAGGGTGATTTTGGTCTGTATGGGTGGGGTTTGCACAAGTCACTTGCTGATGAACAGTCTGCTATCGGTAAATGCCTGTGAAACTTGGTAAAGGCCAGACTGGATTGCTGTGAAGGAGGAAAGTGGTATTGATACAGAAATAAACAGGGTGATGATCTCATCTGAAGGTGAATTACTTGAGCTGTATTAAACTGTAGCTTCAATTGTCACATTTCTGACTAAGGGAATAGAAATTTTGGCTTCTCTAACTTTTAAATGTAATTTTGCAGTTTGCAGCAAGTGTAGCTGTACCGTGTAGCGTTGGTGATATGCACAGTCTTCCCTTCTAGTGAGAAAGTGACTGTGACTGAACAGCCCACGTCACCTTGGCCTACTGTAATCAAACCCCAATGGGCCATCGCCCAGCATCTGGCCAGTCTGCGATCAGCGATGGACATCGGGGGGCAGGGAGCTCCTGTGCTCAGAGGAAACAGTAGTAACCTGAAATAGCCACCTCTGTATTGTTGCATGACCACCAAATAGTCCCTTGCAATAATGTAGACATACCGTTTGTTGACTTTATTATGCTACTGTAGCTCACTAGTAACGATGTGCTTCATGTAACCCATATTTTAGTATTTTAAACTACGCATTGAACACGCATTCATTCTGCACTTGGGGCCTGATCCAAAGCATATTAAATACGTTTGAAAGATCCAGTCTACTTCAATAACTTTTGGTTCAGGCCCTCTATTCCTGGATGCTGTTGCTTTTGTTTGTTTGTTTGTTTTGCTTTTTGTTCATGGGCTGTAAGGGTTTTTTCTTTCTTTTATAAATAGCTGCATTTAAAATAAAAGCAAGGAGTTGCACAAAGACAACCTGCATCTCTCTCTATGTATAAATTAAATGCAGCTGTTGTCACATGTATAGTATTGTAATCGAAATACAGTGGCACTATTCTGTACTCATAATGTAGACAGTAGAATTTCTTACGTAGAAAATACTACAAATCTAGATGAGGATTGTCATTTTGTGGGAAGATAAACAGCCACAGAGAAAATAGATGGCACAGCTAAGTGAATAAACCGATACTCTTCTGGAACTGGAATGCAAATGTATGCTTAATGGCTCTCCACTTTATAGTAAGATGTTATCCTGTCCCCAGCTACTCCTGAAATCTTTATCAGAAGGGAGACTACAGAATTTATTTATGGTCACCATAAGCATGTTAAAATAGTAGCAGGATAGATAGTACTATAGATTTTTAAAGTAGGATTAATTTAAAGAGAACTGCAAAGCACACTTGACATCTTGGAACCTACAGAGTATCCTGCATATTTTGAAGGCTTTGTCAGAGAAAAAGCCTCCCACGGTTGCTTCAGAGGCCTTAAAGACTTAATTTTGATTTTAAATTGCTTATTTGCAGTATTGTCCTCCCACACTGCCTCGTCACGTTTTGTATGTTAAAATACACAATTTAAAAGGAAAAGCATGCTTTTAAAACAGCTGTGGGGAAAGAAAAACAATGGGCACAAAAGTTCACAGAGCCTTTGGTGCTGGTGATCTTGCAGAGCCCTGACAGTTGACCGGGCAGCTTGGCAGTTCTGCGCACAAAGTCATCCTGGTAAAGATAAAGAAAGAGGATACAGACAGTTTGCATTGGAGAAATGGATCAGCCTGGAACTGTGCATAGCATCTAATCCCCATGTAGGGAAGTGGTAGGTATAAGGGCGTGGAACAGGATTGGCACGTCTCTCAGTATTACAATTTGTGCTCGGAAGTATCAGTAGAATAGGAGGAAAATAGGTGGAAAAACTTGCTGTGGACAGTGGTTTAAATATGTCACATTACGTACTATATATGCTTATGCACCTCACGGCAAATTATGCTCAAGTGATAGCGCTAGCTACTGAACTACAAACTGCTTCAAAGCATGCATTTACTGAATTCATTTGAACTAAAATTATCTGGCAAAGCAGAGCACAATTTCAGTATGTCATAAAGTTGATAATTTGGATTAATACCTGATACATCTTTTATTATTAAGGAAAAAAATATTATTTTGTCTTTTCAGATGCAGTTGTGTGGAACCAGAACATCCTAGCAATAAAACCTTACGATACTGGCAGGACTACAACATATCTGCGTCTGACGTGCCATGGGGGAACCTAACTGTGTCAGTAAGTGAAATATTGGAACTTAATGAATAAAGGCATAAGCATAAACAATTTTGTATCTCCTTCTGCAGCAAATATGTTGAAAAAAACCCAATGTTTTTTCTGATCATATTTGTTCAAATAAAACATAAAATACACTTAACAAAGATTAAGATAGACTTTGTAGCATTATCTCATTTTGTAAGCATTTTGCAGCCTTTGATAGTACACATTAAAGCAAGTATGTGCATTTTGTGCCCTGCTTTGGAAACTTGACACACTAGCACAAGAATTTGACTGAGATTAAGTCTAAACATGTCAAATGACAACGAATTTGTCCTAAATTCTGCCAGATGGCAAAACTAAAGTTCCCTTGTGTAGAAAGACACTAGAAGCATTTATTTCCCCTAAAACATTCTTACAGCTGTTCGGGCTATAAAGGAGAGGAAGGGGATAAATTTTGTAACATTTGTGTTTCAGTGACTAAATTTCTCTCTTACGTAGGCCTTCAGTGTTATGTATGTCTTAGTTGTGTAATTATTTTTTTGGGGGGGTGAGGGTGGGAGAACAAGCTACAAACAATTTGGGGAGCTTGCATGGATATGTAACTTGTTTCTAAATGCTACACTTTCCTAGGTTTTAAGAAATTTATTACTTAAGGTTTGCCTTCTTTAAAGCAACATTTACAACTTGATTAAAATGTCACATGGACATCAGACCACCACTTCTTATCACAAATGGATCATTTAATTACACAATCACAGAGAATTTAGTGCAAAAGACACCAAACTGAACGGTTCTCTCAAAAATAGAACTGAATTAACCCCATTGTAGGCATAACCAAATGAAACGCTTAAAAGTTGATCCAGTGGACCGCCTCCAGCAGATACTATTTTTTCTTTCAAAGGCAGGTATGCAGAAGAACTGATGTCCTCCTGTCATGAGTTAAGCAAGAGCTGCCTCCATGGCTGCTCTGTCTCGATAGCAAGGAGTGCTCCTAAACTCTGTTGGTGTGGCAACAGCAGAGGGAAAGTTGAGAACTGCTGGCCTGAGGGATTCCAGCAATCCAGAATGAATATTCTCAAAATTGCAGCACACACTAAGAGCATCTGTGCAGGGGCAGACTCCTCCTCTCACTTTCTCAGATCTCTGACAGTGTTTTTCAGAGTACATTTGCAGCTGAGGAGATTTAAAATAACAGATTTTGTTTTAACTATAAATGTAAAAGACTGCTGCATTATATAAAACCCTTTAAAACTTCTGTAAAAGCTTATTACCGAAACTTGAGTTTACATGGGTAGCAGTATAACTGACCGACTCTTCCCATGAGTCCCAATAGTTGTCAAAGAAATAACTGAGATTTTTCATACTTCCATGTATTTGTTTCTTGCAAGCATCATCAGGAAACTTCAAGTCTCCTGTTTGAGAGAATTGCAGTAAAATACTAGACCTAGTTGTTTATTAATATTTGATCAGTCTCACCCCACTGTCTTTTTTACTGCTCGTTTCTATGTGTTGTTTCTTGTGTCTGATTTAAAAGTTTCAAGTTTCCGAGGATCTAGATTGGCACACTCTCTTAAAAACAACAGTAGGACTAACAACTTTTTTGCTATCTAGGGCAAAATGAGTGTGAGCAAAGTGTTTATTCTGATGGTGACAATTTCCTTTTCAGTAGGTATATGATGACATTCATCCATGTGCTGTGGCAACATTGAGGTCTAGCTCAGGCCAGAACAAGTTTTCTATGTGATGTCCCAGATTCTTGAGAATTTCTTTCGGATTTCCTGAAAATTTTTTTCCCCGCCTGAAACCTTTATTTCATCAGTCAGAAATGCATCATATTTATCCCAGGTTTACTGCTATACCGGCATAAAGAGTTTTGCACTCCTTTGTCTCACAGTCATCAAATAGCAACTGTGTTTTTTTTTTCAAGCCAGCCTTTGTTCAAAGCCAAAGTTTCTCATAACATGTCAAGCCACAGTATTGTGACGTGAGTGTGATGAGACAATGACCCAGTTCATTTGATACTAAAAGATCCTGATCTGACAGGATATTGCTGCCTGGAATCCCTGATTCTGGGTGTTTTGGGGTTTTTTGCTTAATAAGTGTGGAGGGATTTGGGAAGGAGAAGGAAAGGATTGCAAGCCTAGAGCTTGTAGCTCATGTTTTTAGAGCTACTCTTTATTTCTCTGCTTGTTACCTTGGAACACATACTATTTTAAACAACTAAGGATGGTATTGGTGAGTTACTAGACATGTTTTCTACTGTATCTGCGTATTTGATCGTATATTATATTAGATAGAATTAACATTACAGATTTTGGATTTTGCTGCATTTTATCAGATCGTCGGGTTTTTCCTTATGAAAAAGATAATTTGTGGAATGTGCTGCCCCCATGTGGTATTAAATGTATTGGTCTCCTTTTAGGCTAATACTGCACAGTCTAAGTAGCTTTTTCTTGAATTGCTCGGTCTATGAAGTTAAAACATCAGTTCTTGAGAATGCACTAGGTGTAGCCTTTCACTTGGTAGCTTTTGAACTTCACTTTCTTCTCTTAGAAGGAATTAGGAAGTGCAAATCTGTGCTTGTAAACAGAAAATATATAAGTGTACTTGTTCAGTTTGAAATAAATCTGGTTTATATTAATGATTTTATGGCACGTCTTAGGGACTTCATCATTTAATACTGGCTAAAAAAGAGGTTCTTTTGAGGGTGTGACAGTTTTCCGTGCAGACTAGATAGAAATGTTAGGAGTTTTAATTTTTAAAAGAATAAATATCTAAAAATGATTTTACTGTTTTTAGTAATACAATGTGCTTGCAATTTAGGAAAGTAATTTGAAAGAAAATGTCATTGTAAGCATGGATATTTTTCAGAACAATACTACTTTGCTCTTCCTGATAGGAATGTAAAAAGTTTCACGGAGAGTTTGTTGGACGGGCCTGTGGTCATCATGGCCCTTATGTTCCAGATGTTCTCTTCTGGTCTGTCATCTTATTCTTTTCTACAGTAACGCTGTCATCCACACTGAAGCAGTTCAAAACTAGCCGCTACTTCCCAACAAAGGTGTGTGCCATTTTTTTAATTCAAAAGTTGTCATTAGTCATGTGTAAGCATGAATTCAGTCTGCATTGCAAATTCAATTAACTGCTGGTGAAGTGGATACTGCATCTTTTCTCTGTTAGAAAATTGTATCAGAATAAGCATGGTTTTAGCTGTACGCACAAAATGGCTTAAAACAGTGAAGAAATATAAATCCTAAATCACATGTGAATGTTTTAGTTAAAATTATCATTTCTCTCAATAATCGTAGGTACGATCTGTTGTCAGCGATTTTGCTGTCTTTCTCACTATTTTGTCCATGGTTTTAATTGACTATGCCATTGGGATTCCATCACCAAAACTTCAGGTTCCAAATGCTTTTAAGGTAATTTGTTGATAAATTGCACTGCTGTATTATTTTGACAAAGTAGTGTGCTATAGTGCATTTATTATATTTTTTTTATCATCAGGGAGTAGTGATAGTAGTCTGAATTTTTTTGTTCACCGTGTACTATGCAACTTCTCCTATTAGTGGCCCATGCAAGTGAGCCTGTCCCATCAGGCGCCTTCATGCTTCCTCACGTCTTCTGTGTGAGGACCAACCTGGCTCAAATTACCCACATCCTAGACTACTGTAATGTTCTGGGTTTCCTTCCAAATTCTGGGCTCATTGTATCAAAGCAACCAAGTCTGTAATATGCCAGATGATTTTATTGTATGTAGTTTCTCTTTTTGGTATCATAGGAAGTTAGCATTTTTCTGTGCTCTTACATAGATTGATTTTAAAGGAAATCATATCCTAGTAATGTTTTTGTATGTGTTCTTGTGAAGTTGAAATATAAATAATCCTCAGAGTTCTGACTGATCATGCATGACTCTGTTTTTATAGCCCACCAGAGATGATCGTGGCTGGTTTATTACTCCTTTGGGGCCTAATCCTTGGTGGACAGTCATAGCTGCTGTAATTCCAGCCCTGCTTTGTACTATCCTTATCTTTATGGACCAGCAGATCACAGCTGTCATTATCAATAGAAAAGAACACAAACTAAAGGTATTCAGTCAAATAGTTATATTCTCACTGTCATTTGCTGCTTCCGGTAATGTAATGTACCTTCATGTACTTGAGTATGCTACTTTATTATGTGTTACATAGCACCCCTTTAAATTGCTATGCTTTTTCTCTGTTGATCTGTGTAGTACCTGTGCCCTGTGGCAGTGATTCGCTGCCTTACAGAAGTCTTTATGAATGTAATTTGGAACAGAGACTCTGAATCAAGAAAGTACTCTTATTTATGCTTTGTTAGAAGTATGATGCCCATTCACCTGAAGAAAAAAAATCTGGAAGTTAAGGATTTCCTTAAGTACCGTAATATTAATCGCCTCTTCAGATATTGGCAGTGTTGTTCTACGGGATTGGATTTTGAAAAAGTATTCAGGGGTTATTTTGTCATATGAGATTTTTTTTTTCTTCTCTTCATCCTTCCCTGTGGTTCTACCCATCCATTTTTTATGCCCGTCCTATCTTAAAGAAGGGAGAAGAATAAAACTGAGCTTCAGAGCACAATGGGTTCTTAAAACAACATCGGACAACTTCGTGCTCTGTTCTCTAACACTTTAGTTGCCTACAGATGGAGAGAGAAAAAGGGACATCACCCCTCTGAAAAACTGTTGGGCAAAATCTAGCAGCAGGTTTCTGTACATGTATATGCAGTGAGCTTAGGCTTTTTTTGACATGCTTTTAATAAGCAGCAATCCAATCTCAAGTTGCTTTAGCAAATGCATTTGCAACCTTCACTTTGCACTGCCTCTTCTTGGATGATTGTGACATTTGATATGTTCTTTTTTTGCCCTCTTTGTCAGCCTGGCTCTTCATGTCAATCCATAGCATTGCATGTGGTTAACTTGACAGATGCAGGAATTTGCTGCCAAGCTTTGGAATGTGTTTTTTCAGCACTGGCATCTGGGAGTCAGATGGTCCTCCTGGCTGCCCCCTTGTCTTGCTGCGTTTTAGTTTTGCTGGGGTCTGGTGTAGCATCACCTGTTGCTATGCTTCCTTTTCTTCCCATATGTCAGGTTCCTCAGATCATGTATGAATGTGAGGAAATGCTTTCGGATTCTGTATGCATTAGCAGATACATTCCTCATAAATGTGTCAGAAGGTAAAAAAAGGTGTCTCTGTTAGGATTTAGAATTAAACTCTTTCTTTTAGTGCATTGTGCGTGTAACTAATATCTGTGTTTGACACATCTCTGAGTTTGTCAAGATGTGTCTTGGAGATAAGACTCATAAGCGCTTTTGGAGAGTGAGGGAAGGTTGCTAGAGTTGATTCTTTTCGTTTTCTTTACTTCATATGAATTCCCCTTTTTAAATAATGTAAGCAAATAAGATGGCATTTTCATTTCGATATGTGGCTTACATTTTCATAAACCCAGACGCTTCCGATTTTAGAAGTAAAAGTTGTCTTCAGAAAGAAATGATTTGTTTGCTTCCAACTCGTTTTCCCCTCTTTTTTTATACTTCCCATAGCAAATTCTGAATAGTGCACATTTCAGCTTTTGGCAGTCTCTGTAGCAAACCCTTCCAAGTTTAGTTTCGTTACTTTTTTTATGTCAAAAGGCATTTGCATGGGTTTACAGGCAAAATTATGGTTCAACATATTCACATTGTTTGCATGAACATCACCGTTTCATCAGACCGTCACATTGGATTTGTTGCCATGTTGCAAAATTTTGTGGAGATAACTGCCTACCTGACTTGTAAAAGGAAAATAGCTTGAGCTCCTGGTTGCAGCTGCGTGGTGGTCCTGGATACTTACTAAAATTGAAAAGAAATATCCCTCTCAGCTATGGTAACAGATATCTGTACAACCAAGCTTGATGCAGATCATTGGTCTTTTTGAAGCACAGGTTGTATTTGCAGGTTTTTAAATGTATCTAAGGTTTGACCAAAGTGTTCTATCTGCTACTACAAAAACAAAGCAACATCTTCCTGTTGGTAAATTTACAGAGTACTTGACTACTGCAGAGATGATCCAAAACGAAAGGTTTTGTATAGACTGCTCATACGAATGTTTATGCTACTACATTTAAGTATTGAATAGGGAAACCAGTAAAACGCTACCTGATAATGAATGTTATTTTATAGTTTAGTTTAATGTATAGATTCATTATAGTTTGATTTCTTATATTTTCTAGTTGTCGGTTCTTAGATAAGATGAAAATACTTTATTGAAAACTTACTGCTATCACATGCTTAGCATCTATAAAAACTTTAAAAGGATCAGTGTGGATTTATGGCCCTTTATAACATAAACTGACTTTGCAAATGTTAAGTTAAGAATTTTTGTGTAGGAAGGAATCAAAATACATATTTTCCCACCCCCTATGTGAGGATGGATGCAGGGTCTATTAGGGATAGTGCAGTGAAAAGTTATCCACAGAAGATTTAGTTAAAACAAAAAATGCGTTTTCCATTGTCTCACTAGGATCTCTTTTATAAGCAGGAAAGGTATTTGGTGCCCATTGTAAAGTGGATTTATGATAGGTACTCTTAAATCATAACTGGAATGAGTCCAATAACAGTAAGGATTTCTTGTGAACTTGTAGGCATTCCTCTTAGATAACCAGTTTGCCATCACTACTGACCCAACCTGGATAACACATAGAAGAAAGCTATTTTTTCCTACAAGTCACAGATCTTTTTAATTGCCTCTAACTGTTCATTAGGAGTGTTTGCCAGGAGTGTTCTCCTTAATTCAGATGTCATATTATATCTTCTTGCTGTCATTACTTTCTTTAACAGAAAGGATGTGGATACCATCTCGACCTACTTATGGTGGCAGTCATGCTTGGAGTGTGCTCTATTATGGGATTGCCATGGTTTGTTGCAGCCACTGTCCTCTCTATTTCCCATGTGAATAGCTTAAAACTGGAATCGGAGTGCTCCGCTCCAGGGGAGCAGCCAAAATTTCTTGGAATCCGGGAGCAGAGAGTCACAGGGCTCATGATTTTTATCCTTATGGGCTCATCTGTCTTTTTGACAAGTATCCTGAAGGTAATTTGGGGAAGTAAGGAAAAGCTAAAGAATACTGCACTGTACTGAGCATTTCACTGTTGTTACTGTATTACTGCATAAGTGCCCTTTCCAGGCACATTACTGACTAGCATAATGTTACACAATGATAATCTAAAGTGGAATTCTAATTTTGCATAATAAAATGGCTAAGGACATCTAACATTTTTTAAAACAAAAACCTTGTAATGAAAATCTGGCCTGACTGAAGTCAAAGGGAATTCTGCCACTTGACCTGTAGTATATCAAGATTCATCCTTGGTCTGTATTTTGTGCCTATGGCAAATTATCATGAAACAATCTTGCTAAGTTACATCAGTAAGTAAATTTATTAAGAGAATTTAAAAACATTTCGTGATTTCTGGATAATTTAAAAATATTTTCACATTTGCAAGAGAAGTTCTATGGTTTTAAGAATTTTCTGGCCTGTGTGAAATCAGTGAGTTTTGCCACTGGCTTCAGTAAGGTCAAAATTAAGGCTTGCATGTTGTCACAGTGAAGTCAATAAGGCCTTAGAGCTTGTACTTCGCAGTAGTATTTTAAGTATATCATAAAACATTCACTTTGAAAACACACAGAATATGCTTTTTGTGTATTTAGTATTTAAAATGGATACTTATCTATGGAAATATTCCTTTACCTACACACTGTATACTGAGAGCCTGAACATTTAAAATAATCTCTTACAATCATTCCATAGAAGTCATTCACCATTTTCAAATACTTACAGCACAGAACATTTCTTTTAGCAGTATGAGGTATTTTGCGTGTCTTGAACATTTTTCTGAGGATTATAGCTTCACTTTTCAGGTGCTCTCCTGAGCAGTCTTTTAAGTAAAGATTTAAGTGTGTATCAAAAACTTTCATTTTTTTGTGTAGTTCTGTTATTTTATTAATAGTGAATAAAGTATATTGTAATAACTGGCTGTGAGAGGAAAATAAAACTATAAAGGCAGATTCTTCTTTTGCTTTATACTCTGAGAAACATTATTAATTTGTAATTGAGTGACTCTGAATTTACAACTTGTCTGATTAATGCAGGCATATGGCACTTTGAATTTCAACTGTTTAGAATGTCTTTCTAGAGGCATTTGAAATTGTTAAATAGTATTTAATATGCTCTTCCCTTTCTCTGCTTGTTTGTGCAGTTTATTCCTATGCCAGTACTTTATGGAGTATTTCTTTACATGGGTGCTTCATCTCTAAAGGGAATTCAGGTAAAATGGATTTATGAAAAGTGTGTTACTGATTATATGCTTTCTATAAAATGTGTAGCTATTATTATTACATTATTTTATTATCTTTTGTGTATAATCTTAAAGGAATGTTGCCAACCTTAAATTTTTGAAAGTGACTCACTTAAAAAGGAAAATGGATTCTCTCTAAATAGAGTATTCCCTTTAGGTAATCTGCTCCAATTTTTTTATTTTTTAGGTGCCGATCTTTTCTGTTCTCCCTTGTTATCAAGGGAATTTTGGCTGAGCCTAAAAACTGAATAACAACTATCAGGAGCTCTTCCCTCTCCCCTGCCTCCCCGTTCATTTGCTTGCCTGCTGCCTTTTCAGCTTCCAAGTTAGTGCCTTTGGAGTGGTACCCTTGATCTTGAACTTTGCCCGTATGAGGCTTTTGGCTAACTTGCCCTAAAACTAACATAGGCGGGATTTTGAAGATATTTCCTGTGCAAATAAGTGCCCCAGGCAGGGGAGTGGAACTCTTGCAAGTCCCATGCTACTTAATTTGTGGCCTCAGGGATGAAGGGCAAGTCTAGTGGAAGGGCAGCAATCCTGCAGTGGCCTTAAGTAGGAGCTCCTGGCAGAAGCCAGGCACTCCAGCATTCAGGTCGGGGTTGCTAATGGTATCCTGTGTACCGTTTCTCCTGGATGACTGCAGCGTTAAATGGCACAGAGTCAAATCTTTTAGCCCGTCTGACACAAACACTCAAATTTTCAAGTGTGCCTTTGTTTGTCATCGAAAGTTGAGGTATTGATACACCTTCCAAAGCAATTGAGAAAGAACAATCATATGATGAAAACATGAATTATACTGTGCAAAGGTTGTTAAATACAAAGAGCAAAGAAAATGCCTGATTGTTTCTTTCATTATATTTAAATTTTTGATTGCGAGTTAAAAATGTCTTGTTTTTTTTTTAACCTCTGTATTATTTATAGGCAAAGTTGGCAACATCTCGTTTTTTGACTGGTGTTTTCTATTTAGAGACTCTTCTTTTATAACTCTGCCTAGCTCTTATCGTTTGGGTTGATATTCTAAGAAGTGCAGCTTGGCTTTTAGTGAGGTTTAGATAATTTCAACTTAATATGGTTCAGCTGTTCCTCAGAACAAGGGTATGAGAAAGTACACTATTGAAGAGTGTTTTTAAGACATGCTAAAATTTGGCTATCTTTGCTTGGAAAAGGGATTGCATCCCCCTTCCTTTCTCCCTCCCCCAAGCTGGGACAAGGAATTGAGATTTGATAAGTTGGCTTTTGTGGGAGGATGTGCTTTTTGCTGTTTCTGTGAAGAAAAAAAAAAAAAATCTGCTCAAATCTGGCCAAATTATAAGCCTTTAAAAAATGCAGTTTGCACATGCTCAATAAAAATTCCTGAAACTTTGAAATTCTGAAGACTGTGTGAATATAGATAGCATGGCTCATCCATGCAGGGAGAAATGGTGCATCACCATCATCATTGTGCCATAGCAGGTGACACAAACTCTCGGGTCAGTATGGAGCCAAATAGGTCTGAAAAGCAAGAACCTCTCATGTACATTCCTAATGGCATGGCAGTTGCTTTCTGGCATTCTGTTTTTTTCTTTTTCTTTTGTTTTTGTTCCTGATTTTGTGAAGAAAGTGCAAGAGGGAAAAGAAAACATCTTGGGATAAAGTGTCTGGTGAAGTAAACTGGCGGGGGGGATATTCATCCCTGGAAGATAAGACTGAAGAGATCCTCTATGATCAGCTTTTTGTCTGCTAAAGGAAGCAGAGCTCAGTTGTTGAAAAACAAAAGTTTATAACGTGTTAGAAAGGCAGTATAATAGTGTGCATACCCAACAGGATCAACAAGCTTCCATGCAATTTGATTCACAGTTGATTCATGTCTACTTTGAAGTCTGGCTTTGCCTAACTTAAACAGTTCATGACTTGAAATCTTAGCAATACTATTTTAAAGTAACTGTTTTCTTTGTGTATAGCATATTATGCAGTTATGAGCAGGGTGTTTCCTGGAGTATGATGGTACAGAATATAATTCAGCAGAATCCAATATCTCAGCACATCTGTAATAGAAATACCTAGGGACACATATGTGTATTAAAATTAAAAGGAACTTAAGAAGTATGACTAACCAAATAATTAAACTTTACTTACATAACATGATTCTCATTCTTACTCTGGTGGCTCAACCGGAGAGAAGGTGAGTTCTTTACCATTGTTAGACTGGTACAGATTCATGGCTCATGATTGTAACTGAGGTAGTCTTTTTCTGTGGTCCTGAATTTCTGCACAGCTTTTGCCTTTAGAATAACAAGCTTGATTCTGAGGATATTCAGGATCTCTTAGGCAGTGTGTGAAAGTCAGCATAGGTGATCCTACAGCTCATTTTGATGCAAACTTTAAAAAATTTCTCTTTCAGCTTTTTGACAGGATAAAGTTATTCTGGATGCCGGCGAAGCATCAGCCAGATTTTATTTATCTGAGGCATGTTCCTCTTAGAAAGGTCCATCTCTTCACTGTAATTCAGCTGAGTTGTCTTGTGCTTCTGTGGATTATAAAGGTTTCAAGAGCTGCCATTGTCTTTCCTATGATGGTATGAACTGGTTTTTATTCCCATTAAAAATCTCTTTTCTTTTCATTTGTGGATAATTTTTATTGAAGAAAAAAATTAATTGTGGGCAGGTAATTACAATATTGCTTCAATTCAGTGTTCAAGGACAATTCATAATGTATCAAGTAAGGAACAATTCTACATATAACCTCTGGTTTGAGTCTAGGTTGCACTCTTTATATGTGTGGATAGCCCAGCTGTGTATTCTCTTAGGGAAAATTCTTCTCTTAAAAAAAAAAAAAAGTAGTATTTGATGTTTTTATTTAAGGAGTAGTGCTTAATCATTTTGCAGAAAGAACATTCACTCATTAAGGAAGAGTGTTCATTGCACTGAGGATCTTTACTGGTAGTTCTGTGTCTTCCTGGAAATAAAAGAAAAATCTATTCTGCTGCTTAAGTGATTTCTCTGTAATTATTTCACTAATTGAAAATAAAAGATATCTACTGACCTCAGTGATTGTTAAATGCTTCAAGCCATACCTCAAATGAACAAAGGAAGACCAACTGTTGGCCTATCCAAATTAAAGGATAAAATCCTAGCTGTAAACTGTGGTCACTTTTGAAAGTGTTCCTCTACAAGCATATTTGTCATTTTTACTTGCTTAATTTCCTAATTCTTTGGATGAATATCTTTACAGGTCCTAGCTTTGGTATTTGTCCGAAAACTCATGGATTTCTTTTTTACTAAGCGGGAGCTCAGTTGGTTAGATGATTTGATGCCCGAGAGCAAGAAAAAGAAACTGGAAGATGCTGAGAAAGAGGTGGGTCATGGTTTCAGATTTTTTTGGTGTGTAGCATTGTATCAATTTTTCCTTCAGACATTTAGAGAAAATTTTGTAAATAAGGCATATTCTATGCACCAGGCAGACTTGTTAACAGTATCCAAGCTGTAATATTTTCAATATTTTATGTAAGTCCTTTTAAGGTTACAAATCTAATAGGCTGAGGTGGGGATGTCTATTAGATGTAGATTCTTATGCTGCCATACTGTCATATAATAACATAGTATCTACAGTGCTCCTGGGATTGTCCCTGAGACCCACTCAGATGATGTACAGGGATGAATCTGTGTCTGTAGGAAAGCTTTTGGATGCCTGGGGCAATTTGATGCTGCGTTGGGACTGGTCTCATCTCTGCTGGACATGCTGAGGAGAGCACTGCAGAGTTTGAGGGGCATGGCATGTCCCAGCTGCACCTGAACCATACGTGGCTCACATGCCATCACCCTGTGCCCTCCCTGCTCTGCAGTGCCATAACCCTGTGCATTATCCCTATTACAGTCTGGGCCAGCAGGGTGGTTTCTGCTACTGCAGAAAGAATTTACTTCCACTTCCTAATGAAAAGGTCAGCGACACTGCTTACCCCTGTTAACCAAATCTTCAGGCTTCTCCTTACATCCTGTGGCACTACCACCCAGTAGACTCTTTCAGATCTGGATTCCTCATCTCTTTTCAAGGAATATGCATTTCAGATAATTTCTTATAAACTTGATAAAGGACAGATTCTTACACATTTCCATTCAGAATGTTCCTATATTTTGACAGTGAAACACATATCTTTGTACATTTCTAAGCAGTTTTGCATCTGTTTGGTAGCATTTTCATCTAGCTGCTGCTTCATGAATCACTTGTTTGAGTATCACATAAAATTGTAGGAATATAAAGTAACTTTATGTGTAAGAGATGAAGGTCTTTGATCAGGTGGCTGATACCAGGGACAATGTAAGCTGTTGGGGAACGTCAGTACTGCACCCAAATAAATAAGGGACAAGTCTCATTGGAGAAGCACTAACCTCAGGAGCAGTAGGTAGAATATGTTCGTGCTAAGTTATTTTAAGTTGGAGTCGTGTCCTGCTCCAGCACTTTTGAATAGTAGCATGGCGTGAGGCTGTGGTGGCAGTGGGAGGTGAAGGTGCAGATGATGCTACATGGTCTTGGCAGGCTGTGGTCGCTTCTAGGCAGGAGTGCTCTGGGGACAGTTGTGCATGTGACCTCTAAGATGCCCTGAAGACTTCTGCAAAAGCCTGGGAGCTGTGAGAAATTACCCTCTGGTTGTCCAAGGGTACTGCAGAAACTATACAACGTGAATGCATAAATCAGCAATTTATCCTTAGAGATGCCCTGAGATGTGATCTGAGACCAGTGAAATGGTGTGTGTAAGGATTCCCATTAGTAAGTCTATTTGTAGAAATAGGACATGAGGTAATAATGTGAACATGTAACTATGAAAACTAGATTTCTCTGCCTTTAGGATTTTTCTGTGGCCTTTGACAACTCACGGCCTCATCTGCAACCTGGAGAACTATAACTTTCTTTTCTTTGATACATTCAACATATGTTCATAGAATATGTTTGAGAGGAAGGGTTTTACATAGGTGATAAACATAATGATGATTATTTACTATTTAGTATGTGCCTGTAAAACTACCAAGCTGAAATTAAAATACATGAGTCATTGTTTTCCTGCTTGAATTGAAGCACACCAGAGAGTTGTTTCATCACAGTATCTGTTGTCATCACAGTTCAGAGTAACCAAAAGTAACCAAGGTAGCTCTCTTCTTGTGGGTCTGGTTATTGGAAAGAATTCCTTGTTATCCTTATGTTTTGGTTATATGTCACTTTCCTTCCCGTGCTTGATAGGATGGTATCAGAAAACAAAACTGGGAAAATCTACTGGTGTTACTTTATTTCATTCACTGTCTATTTTGAGAGGTTATTTTTACATATTTTGGCATTTCTAAATATTTGGAGCTATTATTAAAACTGTTCAACTGTCAAAAACTTACGAAGCTGTGAAGCCTGGAAATGACAAAATTAACTAGTAATAAAACTTCTGACATGTAGCCTAAGGAATTAATTGAAGAGTTGCTATCACACGGCTTTTAAAAATAGAAGTATTCTACCCACAAGAATATTCAGAAATACAGTTGACAAGATCTGAAACTTATTTGATTGGATCCTAATTTCATCGCTTAAGTTGTTTTTATATTTTTAGGCCGTGTTTTTCCAAGGCTTTGTACATTTATAGTGGATATTATATATGCCTTCTCACAGACCTCCTTTGGAAGCCACTTTGATGTTAATCTATTAAGTCTTTCTGAGGCAGGAATGAACAAAGTGACTTCTCCCATTTGGAGAAGAAAATGTTGTGACTTTTAAAATAGTTGTAGTACTAAAACATAGAAGAAACAAATTTATGTGCAGAGAGGACTTAAATTCTACTATTTTGGAAAATCATGCTGGCTCTTCCAGCTAATACCAACTTATCAACGTGTGTGATGCATGTGGGGGTTTGGGTGATCTGCCAGAAAACGGTAAGCTCTTTTCAGGAGAGCCGACTCACACATTCAAAGAGACACCAGGGTAAACTGTTACAAAGCCATGTAACGAAGGGAAGAAAGATGTGGAGGTCTCTGGGTGTCTGTTATGCTCATACAGACAGCACAGCAGTTTAGGGCAGGGTTTGATGGTTACATTCATGTGAAGGCACGTTGACCTCCGCTGTGGTTCTCCTGACCTAACAGGGGTGTGAGCCTTAAGAATCCTCCTGTGGAGCCTTGAGCTGATGTCTGAGAGACAGACTTGTTTTCCTTCGTTCTTGCAGGCAGGACATGGTGCCTGAGGGGTGTTGTTTTGTTCTCTCCTCCCTCTAAGATAGACTTTCAAATTTGCAAATATTTGACAAAAATATTTTTGATAGGTATGTCTCCTAGTTTTCTTCACTTTCTGTTACTCACAGAAGTTTTTTCCCTGTTCAAGTGAAAACTAATTTTGGTGTCTTGTTTCACTACCTTTCACTGCGATAGAACGATCAGTATTAAAACTGTGTGTGCAAACTTGAATTGGGCTTCCCTAACTTTTGCATGTTAACGTTGCAATGTATATATCCTGTTGTGCATGATATTTAAAATTCACCATACAGTTGCTCACTCAGTGTTACGAATTTTTCTCTTTATTGTTACAAAAGAGTTCCTTTATTTGGCATTGAAAAAGAACATTACGTGAAGATAGATCTTTTAAAGTAGAGGGGTTTTAATGTCAAATATTTAAATTAAGTGTTGAAAACTATCTTAAAGAACTTCAAATAAACACTTAAAGAAAGGGGGGGAAAGGACTGAAGTATAAAAATTTCACTTTTCACAACGTCATATACTTTCTCATGTCTAAATTCCTTCCTTCTAGGAAGAGCAAAGTATGTTAGCAATGGAAGAGGAAGGGACTGTTCAGTTACCACTAGAAGGACATTACAGGTAAAATATACCTTTCCTCTTTTAGGTGAGTTGCAATTAAACAAATAAATTAAACATGCCACAATATTTACTCTTAATGCTTACTGAATGTCAAGAGGATGTTTGTCTGGTAGTAGAGTACAGATAGGTGAACTGACCATATACTGCAGCATTTAAACGCTCAGCCCTTTTCTAGTCTTTCCATTTGATCTCACAGTCCCTAGGGAAAGGACGCACTAGCTGAAGTTTTCCCTTGGGCCAAACTGCAGCATCAGGCCGTTCATAATGAACCTTGGCCTCTGACATGCACAGTACAAAAGGACAACGTAGACCAGGTCAAACCGTTCATCCTGATGCTAGTAGGGAGCCAGGAAAGGCTTTGAACACACCCCAGAAAAACTAGGCTCTTACAGTATCACATTTTAAAACATTCTAATTAAGATCCTATCCATGTGAGATAGTAAGTGACTCAAGAGCTCACCAGGGTAGATAAGGCATAATGCAGGATTGACACAACTTCAGTATGAAAACCTATGTTATGGATAGTAATAATACACATGACCTCAAGGGTCATGACAAGGACTCTCATTTACAGTTTTCATAAAGAAAGTTCTTAATAAAGATCTGAAATATCTACTGATAGTAACTTCTGCATTAATGTTGAGTTCATAGGAACACAATCTCGGAGTGGCCTCCTCTTATATTTTAGCACGAAGTTAACCTAATGTCTCCTAAGGCAAATAACTGTCTGTGTCCCTGAAAAATCCGAGCCTATTTCTTACTTTTGATTCATCGCACTTCTAATGCTCTGGTTTTGTCTTCTTTTGTCCATACCTTTTTGTTCTATTTTATATTAGCAATACTTAGATTAGTTTATCTTGAGTTGTGATCTGTATTGATCTATAGCCTGTTTACTTAGGTAGAGTTGCCTGGATAATATCTGACTTTGTACTGTAAGGGTAACAGTCCTACAGCTAAAAAGAAGAGTCAAGACATTGGTTGATAAAGTGATTCCCCAAAACACTGTGAAAACCAGTTTACTGAAGGCTTACTGAATGTCAAGCCATACATAAAACCACGAAGTCAGGAATAATATACAGGCAGGCCTTTAAAACATCTATGACTTTATTATTATTAAGTGTATAAGTATATATTTGGAGCAATCCAGGTAAAGCAAGGGCATAATGGCTACAAAGTGCTGCCTAAAGCTACTGATTAGCTTGTTTAATTGGGGCATTTTTATTAGATCTGTTAAATCTTTGACTTTGTCAAGGTTTTTGATTGCTTTGAAAATAGTTTTAAAAGTAGGTGGAGTTTCAGAGCATAAGTACTTTGAGAACTGTTAGGAACTCTTAGGATTCATGTTTAATCCAACTATGCCACTGGCATGCTGTGAGATCTTGGGCAATATTTAATTCCACAGTTCCTCATTTTTCTCTGCCTATTAGTCGGAAGTGAAACATTATATTCTGTTGATGTTACTGTGGTTAATTGCTGTTGGAGGAGGAAAATGCTAAAAAAGTGCTAAGATGTTTTAAGAGAATACTTAAGTAGTTGTTTAGGATTTTTGAAGTTTAACATAATTTCTTAACTTACATTGCACTTATTTAATGTCATCAATATCAGTTTTCAAGGACTTTTTTAGAGTTAATAAGTAACAAAGACTGATTGATCAATGTTTTATTCTGTATTTACTTTTATTCTTGCCTAGAGATGACCCATCTGTGATAAACATTTCTGATGAAATGGCAAAAACTGCTGTGTGGAAGACATTGTTGATATCCTCGGAGAATGCAAAAGATAAGGAGTCAAGCTTTCCTTCTAAAAGGTTTTAATTTTTTTTACTACATTATACTTCATACGTTGGTTTCAAACGAATATTAGAATGTTTTGCTAGGGATTAGAAAGATTTCTAGCATCTTGCAATTTTATTTCTTGAGGTTTCCTTTTATTTATGTCCAGTCATAATATTCCGAGCTCAATACACAAGTTCACTATGTACATTCATTAAAAAAAAAAAAAAAAAGACAAATATTTGCATGCTACTTAGTTATGCTACAGTGGAAAATGAAGTTGAGCATGCCTGATGCTTGTGTAATGAACCACTAGCCTACACCTGGATATTGCACAACAGCTGTTGTGTTTGTTCTGCTTGCTTTTGTTCTTTCCTCTTGAAAAAGAAGTGGTCATCACTGCCCTGGAAATATCTATATGAAGAGCCCAGTATTCTGAACGCAATCTACTAATATTTGGAGTGAAATAATTTTAAGACTCCATCACTTCTTTTCATTTTTCTGCCTACTTCACTTGTACCCAAAAGAGTAAAATACTTTTAAATTCTAGTCCAGATAAATGTAAAATGAAGCAAAGATGTTTTATCTGTGCTACAGAGTTATTATGGGAATAAGAAAATATTAAATACAAACACAGTGTGTCTGTAAGAGAGATTTTCCTGTTTTTCCTCGTTTTAAATTTAACTATTTTCTACTTAATTGTTTTATATCACATTTTTGTCATAAGCTCCCCTTCCTAATCACTTTAAATGCTGATTCCCCAAAGGTAAGACCCTGTCCCTCAACCTTTTCTTTGATTGTATCTTCCAATTCAAAGTGTTGTCACCTAGGCACCCAAATGACTTGACTTTATCTAATTTTTGGGGAGACAGAATGGAAAGAAATTTTACCTAGGAATGTAAAATGTCTTCATCGAAGTCCTTAATATTAAAATTTTAAATTTATTGTGTATTAAAAATAGAAACTGTAGATGTGTTATACTTAAATGTAAAATTGAATTTATTCCTACATTTTTTTAATTAATTCTTTGACTTTTTAAAAATACAAAATTATATTCTGCCCATTTCGAAATGTAGTTTTCAAAACAAGCTCCATGTTTGAAAGTCGGCCATTATTTTATGGTGAAAAGATGCAGTAAGAGAAAAAAATTTGTAGTGAAATACTTTTTTTAATTTTGTCACCCCAAAATGGCATGCTGCCTTTCATTGTTGTTCCTTTCCCTAAACAGCATAAACAAGATGAACAGTTGATGACCAGAGAATCTTCATTTAGACACCCATAGAGCAGCCCACTAATGTGATCATTTTAATGCTATTTCACTGACAGTCAAAATAGCAGTGTAGTTCTGATTTGCCTTCCACCCCCACACATGGGCTGAAAAGGATCCGGTCACAGAGAAATCAGTGTGGTGCATGGGAGAAGGATGTAAAGTAGGGTTTTCTTACCTCATGTGCCTCTGCTGTCCAGGCTGTGAAGGCCTGGAGGAAGAGAAGAAACTGATGTGGTACATTCACAGCCACTGGGTATGCAGTAGTTGTAGTTTTTCTGGTGGATGTTGCTTTCTTTGACGGTATGATAGATTATGTAAACGTGTACTGTTTTTACCTGACATTTTCAAAGATCCTTTGAGCAAAGAGCATCATCGTAGCCTGTGGCTCAGACAACACTGGTAAAAGATGATTTGGCCTTTCCACTGCAGTAAAATAGAAACTTATTTTATAATGAGCTCACTTTCAATCTATTCTTGTATCTTTGCTCATGAAAACAAAGACTCGGGTGAAAAGGAACAAAGGGATCACAGGTTTTCTGGTTTTAGGTACGAGTGTCCTGTTTTAAAGGAACAACCTCTTAAAGATTCTGAAATCCTGCTTTTTCGTGTGCTCTAGCTTGTCTCAGATTCCCAGACAGAAGTAGATTCAAAACATGTTAAACCTGGAAGGCTTGCTGTCTGATAAGCAAAACCATAGATCTTAATCTTAACATTAATCTTAAATCATATTAGAGACATATATTCCTAAATGCATGTATCATTACATGAAGATATAATTCAATCCTAGGTAAGTACTGAGAGAAAAAAAAAGAAAGCTTGGAATGGTAGCAGCTGTAAGGATAATTTTTACAAATGATCAATATCGCCAGTATTACATTACACAATTCCCTTCAGTGAAGGGTATCTTACTATAGGGGGGGAAAATGACCTACGTTGTTTTGAAATGAATGTTACTGATGCCTTTTGAAGTTCAACTACAGAAGTGTTTAGTACTCCTTTTCCTGTTGTCAGGTCTACTTTCTTATACTAATATCCCAAAATATTATTAAATAGGGATAATTAAATTATGATACTGTACCGTGATTTTACGTAATGCCTTTTACATAAGGCACTGATCATTTAACACCATAGGGTGATTTCTGGAATACATAAAATCTGGAAGTTCTTTGAACTAATTAAATACTGAGTTGACTTGGCCAGTACTAAACTAAGATCCTCTCCCTAAGATCCTCTCCAAAGAAAGATTTTAGGCAGGAGAGGTTTATACAAATGACTTCTCAGCCTGATGCATGGATCTGTCATAAGCCTTGCCCTGCCTCTGGCTCTGTGAAGTGATATAGTAGTGACAGTTCCTACATCCCAGACTCATGTTGCCTAACCGTAGAGGCCTCTGAACTTTACAGTTTTCCAACCTTTATTTTTCATTATTAAAATTCCTAGAGACTTAGAGGTCTCCTTTTGAGCCTGTCTTGGTAGAGTTGACCACCAAGGCACCTATCTGAAACATAGCCCTCTTTGGTACATGTAATTAAATATTCCTCTGTCTTTGCTTACAATATTAAGCCCTTCAGATAGCAATTTCAAAACACATGCAGAAGATCTGACCGTGAAGAAGGCAGTCCTAGCTGGTCTTTTAAAGTGCTGGAGAAAGAGGCATCTATCACTTCATAGATGGTATTAGTTCCCTTCTCTACCTGAAGATATGCAAGTCTCGCATCCCAAACCTTCCTTCTCAGGCCTGTTAGACTGCTTCCTTGCTAGGGAGGAAGAGAGCTCCAAGTCCCTTACAGATCCACCAGTTATGTGTTTTACTGGTAAAAGACTGGATTTGTCCTTTTTTTTTTTTTTTTTTTTCCAAATTTCTCAAGGCATTAAAGCCCACATCTGCAGGAGATGCTCAGAGATGTGAATCCTAAATAGAAGGAAGACTTTCCTGGTATCACAGAGGCACCTAAAACATGGAAATATTATAGACTGTAAGGCATACAACACATCCTCAGTGTTTGATTTTACTAAGCACAGGTAACTGCCTGCTGTACTGCTGCACTTTAAATTCACCCCCCAGGAATTTGTTTGCATAGCCTTTGTGTGCAGAAAGTGTAACATACCCAATTCTATCACTGTTCTACAGAAGGTGACAGATTTGGCAGTTGAAGTGGCAGAAGTTGGTATTCTTTAGCTATTTCCATTAACACCTCTGGAAGCTGCCATAGGCATAGAAGTAAGCTTTGGCTGAACTGAATTGTATCCTGAAAGCAATTTTTATGTGAAGAAAAATGTCAGATGATTGTAAAATTGTGCATGAATCGCCTTAAGAATTTGAGAATTGATCTTGCTTTCTTTAAGCCTTGTGTAACTCAGCCTATTTCTCATTCATTCTAGTTAAGGAATTACTCCCATGAAACCTGGTAGGTTATGTGCTTGATGCAGGTTTGTTCTCAGAACCATCTTTTTTTTTTTAGATACCCTGCCACTCTTTGTTGAAGGCTTGGTTTGCCTGTGTTGTGGAAGCCTCTTTGCATTTTCATAGTGTGATTGAAACTCATTGCAAGAACATGACTTTTTATTTATTTACGCTGTTGTAAATTAGGACCTTCTTCACAAAAAAAAAAAAAAAAATCATCTGCTTTGCACATACGTTGCTTTCTGTAGGCAAATCAACAGTGTTTTAACTGGAAAAAAGTTGAATCCAAAATTGGACTCTGCTTCAGAGTTCTTAGTCATGCGGCTTTTGTATGAGCTTTGAGTCTTTTTTTTTATTAAAAAAAGTTATTTCCTATAATGTGTACATGAGGAAGTATGTATTAAGCTCCAAATGGGGAATATTGTTACTCCCCACCCCCCAGCCTTCTCCTGCTCTCCGCAATCAGGACTGAAAGCCAAATATTACAGTTGGAAATTGGCTTGCACTGCTCTAGTTCAGAAACATTCCTTCTAAATGTACCTTGAGCAACAGAATACGTTTTAAAGACAAGAAATACTTACTGTGACCTCTTGTTTGTGCCATTTAAGAAAATGCTGGTATTGTCTGACAACTGTACTATTACCATTATTTAATCAATTAACAGCTGTATTTGCCAAAAAAAAAAAAAGTGGCCGTCTTTGCTTGCATGCTGGCTGACTTGTCTGTCTGCACATCTCAAGTTCTCTACCTGCCTCGTCACTAAAATGCTGGCTGATGTCTTCTGTACCATTCAGCACTGAAACTTTCACTTGCTTCCCAGTTTGTGCTATGCAGCATGAAAAAATAATTAAAATATCAGTGCAATGTTGGTTTTCAGGTAGATCATTAATATATATGATAGCGCTGCTGTAACTTTTTTTTTTTCCCCTTTTTTTCCTAGTGCTGAAATCAGAAAAGAGAAGAAAGCTGACTCAGGGAAAGGTGTTGACCGGGAGACTTGTCTATGACTTGTTCTTCAGTTATTTTTTTTACAAAAGAATGAAAGGAGTGCCACAACCACTAAATATAAATGATTTGACCTTGTAACTTTTGTCTTTCATCTCAAACTAGCACAGGTAATGTAGTGCAATATTTGTCTCATTTCACCTTGTCTAAATGTCTACATTGTCTAGTGTCTGTGTAAAAGTCTGCAGTAGCCAATGCAAAAAATCTTCATGTTCTTTGCTGATATTGGCCATTTATCAGTATTCGTATCATAAATTTAACAAGCAACGTTTCTTTCAAATTCAACTTTCCTGTTAATAGGTTTGTACTGTATTTTGCTACTTTTTCTGTGTGAGAATACTTAATAATTTTCATTCAAGATGAACTTGAAAACACTTGTTCCATTTTTTTTTTTTTTTTAATTCACCTAACTTACATACATGATTTCAGGAGACCCAAACTGACAAGCAAACATTAAAGAAGTTTTTAAAGTAACTACTGATCTGACCCTGTGAACAAACTAACAAGGATAATCCTTTCCTCCTCAAGCTGTCCTTTTGAAGTCATGGATTACTCTTGCAATGAGGATTGCAGGGTCAGATTCCGTATTTGTGAAGTTTTCCTTGATTTAATACAGTGTATTTAAAATTCAAATTTGTATGTAACTGGAACATAGTCTCATATATATATATATATAAAAATATATTAAAAATATATATTAAAACATTCTCTCACTTTAGTTGAAAAACACCATTACATCCTTTGATGTGAAACATGGGTACAGTATTTCTTAAAATGCAATCTGTGATTACAGTATTTTATCTTGCGTTGTATGAATGTTGCTGTTGTAAGCCAAACAACTGCATTATGTCATTAATCAATCCATTATTTTATAATAGGGAGAATTTTGTAGATACAAACTATATTCCACATGCAGTTATATCACCTGCCCAATGATTTTCTTCTTTATTGCCTAAAATACGGCCACATAAAAGGCATATTGTCCCCTCTCTACTAACAGCTGTAAACCTCTTAATTTCAGAGATTAATTGTGTATAATACTTAAATGCATATCCTGCTGTTGGTTTTGTTACAGCTCTTCACTATTCCATCAAGTACATATTGATTAAAAGATCAAAAGAACATTGCAAAGTCAAATGTGGCTTTAAAGCCATTACAAAGACATTTTTCATAATGGGTGTTGTTACTGCCTGATCCTTCAAGTTGTTCCTTTGTGCAAAACAAGGACTGCGAGATTAGGTATTGAATTAATAGAGATGTGGAGCAACAGTTTTATTGCATTATTTGGAATTTACCAATTTTATTTTTTATAAAGATAAATTTTTAAATTATTAAATGAAAGCTAACTTTCATTATTACGCTATTACTTTGAATCCTACAAATAAGAATTACAGTCGTTATCTTTATAACAACTGATCTACAGGGCTCTAACATTCCTCAGCTTTCCAAAATACGATAAGCTGTCCATGACCTCATGTGAACAACTTTTCATATCCAGCACATTTAAAGTATTCCTTCTAATGTTCTTGTGCGTGAGTGTGTATATTTTACTACTTTAGCCATAAATGATAACTGCATTTTGCTGCAAACCAATAGGGTCACTGTTCTAAATTTGGCTTAGCATTATCAATGCCCATTAAAGGCCTTTTTTATGGAGAAAAAAAATACCTAATGGACACAAAGAAGGATTTACATTTAATTCAATGTTTGTATTTGTAAATTTAGGAAAAAAAAAAAAGCTGATGCATTAAGGTTAAATGCTTTGTTTTGTGTACTTGATGATAAATTGTAAGATTCCAATTGTTTTAAGGTTAGCATAGAAGTTCAATACTGGTTTGTCACGAAAGCAGCCTGGTGGTGTTTTAATATGTTGCTGACTTTGTTACAGATAACAATGTATACAATGAAAATGTATTAGTTTCACTTGACCAACTCTTAGAATATTAAGAAATCAGTGTATTAAATGGCATTCTGTATTTCTGTTCAGTATTTAAGAGTGGTTTTATTTTAAAACAGTCACTCTGTTCTTGTGTGAATTTAAATGCTATTCCAATGTTAATCTTAACATTCTGAAATCACACATGATATAAAGCAAATGTAGTGCTATATTTACTTCTGATTTCATATTCCTGGTCAAATTACTCAATTTCTTGGATGTAATTTATTACAAAAGTTTATGTGTACATGTGAATAGACTATTGTGTTTTTCACAATTAAGAAATGTAATGTGAAAATAAATATTTATCCTAACTAATTTTCAATTTTATTTTTACACCCAGAACAAATATGCAATATGGTACAGTGTTTTAAATGTCTACCTGACACTTGAATATGCTTCACAAGTCAGTGAATTGTAGAGCCCAGTCCTGCTGCCTTTCCAAGTGGAATCTCATTGAAACACGCAGTCTCAGTGTTGGCTTGCTGGGTGTAGTTGCTGGCGGTATGTATACTTGGTGTGACTCTAACAGTAAGTGCACCGCTGGGGATGGCACATAACTGCTCTGTTCCAGGAAGACAGTGGGAATTAAATTCTGGTTTACTGGTCATGAGTTGGTTCCCCTTGCTCCTGAGAGAGAGGACACGGACCAGACAGCAGGAGTTGCGTCTTTTTAGAGATCAATTTTTACTATCTTTTTACAGAGGTGAGGTCATAAAATTCAAAATTCCTCAATGCTACAGTATTTAAAGCGTCTAATAGTGAAACAGCGGCTTAGCCTCCTGCCTATCGTGGGAGCTTCGGCTATTCTCAGGACCCTAAATTTCTGCTACTGAAAAACTTTTAGGCCTTAAAGCCTAGTGCTACTGCCAAAACCCAATACTAAAGTATGGACTCCATCCAAAGGGCTTATGAATAAGCCCTTTGAGCATCTTCACCAATTTTTAAACCAAAGACTGGAAACCTCCCAGCCTGAGAATGGTAACAGTCACACCGCAGGCTTCAGCTGCTTCTGTTAGGATTTTACACAAAGTGTTTTCTGCAGCAAACTTAAGTATCCATTTCACATGGAAAAAAATACAGAGGAAAAAAAGGTAATTGGTAGGTGCCTAACTCTAGCATGTGGCACTACTTCAGGCACAACTAGTTCCCAGTGCTGGCTTTGTACATGACTGATGTGAGCTGGCTTTCTTTTCTTGCCTCAGTTCTAGGTATATATCTGTGCTCATGCATTTCAGGTAAGTTGTCAGTTCCCCAAGGCACCTCTGTTGTCCTATTGCCTGCATTATTTTTGGAGCTGAGGGAGACCTACCAGGGAGAAGATTGCTGTTTATTAGGACACTTACTATTTAAAAAAAGCATTCATTTTTTTTTGTTGCAAAAATTGCACCATGTTCTATGTAAGAGTCTCCCAGTGAGGTACAAGCATCAGTAAGGTCGGTCAGATACACAGAATTGCGTCTTTACTTAATGAAAGACTTACCCAGACCATATAATTTTTAGTTTTATTTAAAAGGGTTTTTTTTTTAATGCTTCTCTGATTACTAAGGGAATACCTGCAGTTCTTTAACTAGGCTCTTATACATATTAATGCAGGTTTTGGATTAGAGAAATACTTTTTCTGTCTATATAACAGTTGAGTGATAACGTTTAAAAAAACCCAACTATTTGCCCCACAAACCAGACAGAAGTTCATAATTATCATCTTTTTTTATAACCTATCTGCATTGCTGTGTTCTACCTTTATACTGATTTATGTTTATTTCCCTTGAGTCAAAAGAATCAGAGACGTGGATTCTATAACCTCTTGAAGACAACTGACAGGCTCTATCCTATAAAACTTTAACAGTGGTGGCAGCCAACATTAGAACCACTAATACATTGAGCCCAAGATTATATTTGTAATACCCATCTCCGGTATTTCCCCAAAAAACCTTACTTTGTGAGTCAAGGACTTCTTGGTTTGTTTGTGAAACCAAAACCTTATTTTCTACCTCGAACCCCCTTCTCTTCCTCATTTACAGACAAGCTGCACAAACTGTCTTGACATTATCCCCCATCTCCGCTGTGCTTTATCTGTCTGTGTGGGTACTTTTACATTCACACCTAATGTCACTAATAACCCACAATACATACATAATCACATGCTGGTATCTAATATCAAGAAGCTAAAAGTGTTAGATGATCGTGTCACACTCCATTATGATACCATTAAACAAAAGCAGAAACATCACTGTAAGTTTCTCTCAAAATCAATGGATTTCTGTAAAATTCTAGGAGTTTGGTTTTAAGCAACATTTTCAATGATACAGACTACACCTCCTTTCATAACTTAATGTCTTTATTATTTTAAAGCAGCACAGTTTGTAGTACAAGTGGGTTGCATCTTTTTTTATCTACGTGGAATTAAGAAAACTAATCTTATCTTCAGAGGGAGAAGCCTACCTGGAGTGCTGAAGGTAAAGCATAAGTTTACTGGTAGGCGGCAAGGAAAAGCAGGTTTGCTAAATAGCATGTTCACATGAGAATTACAGTCCAGCCCTTGCTTTAAGTGACTGCTAGTTGGCATAGTAATGTTTTATGTTTGGGTGGGAGGAATATATCCTATTCATCAGTAAATAGGAAACTTCGTAAAAAAAAAAAAAAAAAAGATTTTTCTGTCCCATAGAGAAACAGTGGTGGGCTGCTGGAGTTTCCAGGTAAGATTTTAGCAGTGCAGGTTCCCACAGTAGCAGCCTTTTTTGACTATAAAGTAAGTAAAAACACAGTACTATGACAGGAAACAAAGAAATTCAGTGCCACTAGTTTGACTAGGTATCATTCAAAATCTCTGGTGAAAGCTGGTTACATGCTTTCCTTGCAAGACTTCTACAATTGTAATCCAAGAGATTGCAGAGAAAATATTAATTCAAGGAACTGCAGTAAACAAAATGTTTCATTCTGCATAGAAAATATTAACAGTGCAGTATTCCCGATACTGTTTCTAAAATAGTAATTGATTGAGCATTAGGTAATTTCTGCAAAATCTGTTTAAACATTTATCAGTATTTTCACAGAAATGATCATAGGTTTCATTGTATTTTTTGTTGGAAACATTGTTAGTTTTATTCCTCAACTGATCTCCATGTTGGTTCCTCCTCTGTGACATTTTCATCATTCATTACCCTAATGTAGAAACTGGACTGTTTCTCTTTTAGATTGAAATATCAAAAGCTACTGACTCAAGCAAGTACCATGCTTTCCAGAAGTCTGCAACACACCTACATTCTGGTGATGTTAAGACCTGATTAAACACAATCAATAAAAATGCAATAGTTGCTTGGCAACAGAAATCATTATAAAGATTAGCATTTCATTGTATACACAGGTATCCCAAGAGCTGACCCTTCTCATCTTGATTCATAAAAGTTTTTACTGGCTCAGTGTACATTAGCTAGAGAGTGTTCTGGAGAAGTACCATCACTGACCACCAAAACGCTGGTGCTAGGGCAGTGAGAAACACTGCTTTAGGAAGTGGCTCATGTGGGTATAGATATGCTTATGTGCTTGACCAGAGATGGCATGGTCTTTGTCGGTATACCACTGTGGGAAAGAAAAATACAGAGAATGTTAGTGCTAGCCGCATTTAAATCATAGAGCTCAAACATGACAGACAAAAACATGTGCAACCATTTAAAATTATCCCAGCATGAGGCTAATTCAGCATGGAGGCAAAGACATGAGAGTGGTAAGAAGCTGCTATGATAGTTTCATCCCTGCTTTGTGCGTGGGATATACCATCTATTTGTGCTAAAAGTGCACAATGAATACGTGGCTTGTCTACATGGAGGGGAGATGCAGCTCCTCAGTTCAGAGTGGTGCCTGAGCTCTGCACCCTGTAAGCCCTGCAAGTTTGGCTGAAGGACAGCCGAGCGCTTGGCTTCCTTCTGCATCTTTTTCAGCACTGCTCCCCAGGGGCTGGGAGAAGGTAGAAAAGGAAGAGTTTGCACCTTGGTCTGAGAGTTTCCATGTACAGCATTAAGAAGGGGCGAATAGCTACTTGTCTTACAAGTTCAATAGAGAAAACACCAAATGTGATGGACAGGTTATTGTGGGCTTAGCTGAAGTTAACCTTTCCTTACATCCTATCTGCAAGGTACTATTCATTGGACTTTAGGTATATGCATAGATTGGGATTGACCTGGCTGTTTGTCTGAGAACACAAAAAAATTAACTAAATGAAAGATTAGGTAAACAGGTTTTTTTTTTTTTTTTTTGTACCAAAGATACATGGGTGCTTTATGTTACAATTTCAGTTACTGAATGTGAAATGCAAGTATGTGAACTTTCATTTAAGATGGCAATTGATTTATAGCTAACAACAGGGAGCTTTTGCCATTATTCTCACAATACAAACCCATTTGTATGATGATAAACAAACTAGAACCATACCATTGCCTGAAAATCCACTTCAGCATCAACAAGAGCTTTGGAAATCTGCGCTGCTTGCTGAAAGTGAACATTATCTGAAAAGTGGAAGAAGAAGAGGAAAAAGGTAAACCAAAAAAAAATTGCTTCTGTAGTACTCTGGGGGAAAAGCAAAGCAATGAACATAGTAGACTCCCCAGTACTGCTGACTGAAACACATATTAGTTGCAGAAAGCAGTATTATTTTATTGACGTAAATGTAACAGCCTTGCCCCTTCATGCTTTTGTTTTGTCAGTAGTAGAATTGTGAACCTGTCTGTAATACTAAAATGTCTAATTAACTGCAACTCACCATCTGCTGTTCCATGAATAAGGAGATATTCAACTTCCTTGAATTTTTCAGCTCTGGCCATTACTGTTGAACTCTGAAATTAAAGAACAGGAAAAAAAAAGAAAAAAGGTGCTCTTTATTAGAAGACAATTTGCTACCAACTGACTTTGATTCCTTTTGACACAGTCCGGGGTCCTTCAGATAAAATCAACCACCCCTGTTCCCCCCCCTGCACCCCCAAACAGCGTGCTCACGTACCCAACAGCACTGGGAGCACTCTCAAACCATTCTACACGGGTCTGTAATTACTACCACGGGTTACGTCTGCAAAGCAACGGGCAATTCCAGAGGGCAAGAGTTTTGCGAGTGAGATGATACACATTTAATGCATCGCTAACACGTTGTTAGCCTGCAGCACACCACTTGCCATAGGTTTCCTGTGCGACTGCAGACAAGTTAAAAAATGTTGCCATGGCAACAGTGCACCCTATGATAGTGAGGAGTAGATATTGCAAAGATTACATGACTTATCTTCCCCACCAAAATGTACACTAGCTTACCTGTAGGTAAGTCAACAGAGCTAATATTTAGTCTCAAGTAACAAGAGCTGACAAGAAGTTTAAAACAATGCTCTCCCCCAAATATGATAGAGAAATGCCTGAAGGGAAAACCCACTAGACAAAAATCTATACACAGAAGTCAAGCTACATTTTGGGAATTGAAACAGAATACAGTGATAAAAAAAAATAAAAAATCAGCAACTAGGATTAATCAATAAACTTAAACCACAGTAACAACATACTCCCTGGAACGTACTGACCACCTGACTTGCCACTGTGACTCAGTACTAGAGAATGAGGAAAGTAAGGATTGAAAGTAAGATGATCTTTGATTTGGGCAGAGAAAGGAAATAGCACAGTGCTCTGCCATGAGAGTGGGAAGAAGGAAAGGGACAAGAGATGAAACATTTCAGGCTTGATAAGACAACCAGCAAAAATGGGGTAAAAATATGGTGAATTAAATTTCCTTCTATTTGCAATATTATACGGGTTCTCTGCTGAAAATGGCTGAACCCCTGCAGAAGTTCTCTCTATATTACAGCAATATAAAAGCCACTATGGCAAGGAAAAAAAAGGTAAAAATTAGGAAAAAAATCCACACAAGTGCTCTAATTTCTTTATGCATCTTGTACACTCATGAATCTTTAAAGCAAGCATAAATATTAAATGCCCTTTGTTGTAGCAGAATAGTGTACCACAACCCTCATAGGTGAAATGAGTTCCTTGTAGTTCTTCAACCAAATTTAAAAAACAAGATAATCAGAGAGAAAAAAACCCACCCTCCAATCCGTAACACTGCAGTTGCCCTCTTTTGATAGGCAAAGGCTGCAGAGCACCAGAAATCCCATCTAATCTATGGAAATCCATGCACACTATCTGTTGAAACAAGTTGGCATCATGGAGCAAGAACAGATAGTTACGAGAGTGCCAGAAGCTGGAGAGAGGACTTTGCTTCAGAGAGGAGCACTGGTACAGCAGCTGACCAAAAGAACAATTCAGAAAATAATGGCCCAGTCATATAAAGAAAAAGAAGTAGGTAGTATCTTTTGAGTGCATCATTTTCCACATGTGCAGGGGAAACTTAAGAGAGTGCTTTTACAAGTTTTCTTCCAGCAAGTCAGTGCTGGTTTAAGGGACAGCAAACCTGCAAGTGGAAGCCTGACTTGAGCTATGCTTCTGAGAACTCGACTTTCCAAACGCAGTTTCAGAAAAAAAGATAACACTATTTTTCCCCCTCCAAGCAATAAACAAAATTCAGCTATTTGTAAAATACTTCAGAAAGAAGGAACACACAAAAGAGATACTTTCTTTTTTTTTTTTTTTTTTTTTTAAAATCACTTGCAAGGGAGGTCTCGCTGTACCCATACTCAACATGAAGAGTCCCTTCCCTAAAACGTACTTTAAGGACACAGCACTTCTGCCAAAAAAAAAAAAAAAGTTGCAAAATAGGGAGCAATCTCAAGTTAGGCACAGATACAGCACAAAGCAACAGCTACATCAGCTGAACAAACCTCAAGTGGACAGCAAATACATACAACTTAATTTACACCTTCTGTGTCATAGTCATACTGCCAGGACAAAGGTTCTCAAAAGGTAACGTGAACAAGTGCTGAGAATTGGGCCCTGCTGAGTGTAACTGGCTTTTCTACAGCTCACACAGCAGTCAACATTTTATCAGCACTCCACAAACAAGTTAAGGTTTGGCTGAAACTGAAGGTCTCTCTCCCTTTAGCATATTCTCAGATAATAGAACAAATGTCAAATCAGTACAAGATGGCATATTTACAAAATTGTACCCTGTTTTGCATAACCTAATGATGCAGCAGTTCTTAAGGACTGAACATTTCAAATCTGCTAGAAAAAGATTGCCAAATCTATGACTGTTTCAAACACTTGCCAAAAGCATATCAAATTCAGAGCGAACTGCAAAATAATCTTCTCACAAGTTGAACAGTCTCGTCGATATGCTTTACATGGCTACTGCATCTGACCTCTACAGCTCTGCCCTCAGTTAGTCTCAAGTCTTTTACATCAGGGTCAGGTCTTCCCGGGCAGAGAGCTTTGCTGCCTTTCAGCCTAGGATCCCAACACAACCATACTGCGAGCTCCACCCATGCTGGCGCCTTTCTTTAACAAAGCTTTGATTTGTAATAGTTCACAGCTACCTCAAAAGGCACTGATCACACCTAATTAGCCTACTTAGAGAAGTGTGAGTCTTGACTCTTGACAAAAAGTATTTAACATCTCAGATTCTCTTCCTTCAGTAAATGTGAAACCTACTGCCACAGTCATACAAAGGTGGGTGTACCCTTCTTACCGAAACTAGTTTATTGAGACTATATTGACAGTCATTAATAATACTCTGCACATTAGGAAGACACCTAGCAGCACCCATCTTCTCTATGCAGGGGTGTACACAGTCTCATTTCTTTTAAATTAGGGCACTCAGTATAGAGTTTATGCAACCTTTCCCTTCTCAAGCCAGCTTGATAGCGGATGCAGCAGGATAGAGAATATAAGATGCAGCATGCAAACCTGACAGTATGAAGTTAACAGTTCAAAAATGCTTTAACAGCTTCAGCTAGGAGAGCTTTCAGTACATGTTTTGCATTTACTTGCTAAAAAACATTCAGTTCAGAAAACAGCTCTGCTCAACAACAAGGGGCCAGGCTGGCTACTGGGACACGGGCACGGAACAAAGGGGCTGTAAGCCAGGAACATGCTGGGCTGAAGTCAGTAAGGGTCTTCAGCAACAACACAATCCCACAACCCTTCCATTGATGCTACACGAAAGCATCAAACTCACTTCTTGAGCTACCCCACCCCTCCAGGTTTATATGCAAAAGTTAATTCCAAGGAATACATGATTTGGGGCTTTTAACAATGAATGAGGACTTAAGTTGCGTTTTCCTATCTCTAGAAGCAGCAGTGAAGTGTGACAATCCGATCTGTGCAATTACCCCTCCTCCATCTAGCCACCATTCTCCCCAATTAGTCCTCCGAGTAACACATTTGAAACCTTTAGCTCTTTGGTACTGGCAGTTTCAACGTGGCCATTGCCAGCAATGGATACTATGCCAAGAAAATCCGACTCCTGGCTTGAAAGGATTAAACAGTCCTCTGTTGCCATCTGTGCCGTGAAGCTGGTGAATGACTTTGTGCACCCAGAGCGTTAACGTTCGTTCTGCACGACGACAGTAACTTCTATTTACACTGCTACCTCGCAGACCTCCTACTGTTCCCACTGCCTTAAAGAAACCCGTTGGGAAAGAGGCAGGCAGGCGGCTGCAGGCTGCTGGTCAGTCCCCAGTGGGCCAGAGCAGCTCGCTGGTCAAAAGAGGCAGACGCAGCATCAAGCCTTCCAGCGGCACTGCCATTGTTCTCAATTTTGACCAGAACATCTGATACGGCAATTGACAAAACTAGATTACTGTAGTGATACGTCAAAACAGACGTTTCAGTCCATATATTTATGCATTTATATGTTTTACCATACTTTTAAATCAATGCAACAACCCTGACCCTTTTTTCCCCCCATGACATTTAATTGCATCAAGACACAATCAGTGCTAAACTGTCTTCTAGCCTATTTACCAACCCAAACACAGAGAATGCCCCATCTCTTCTCCTTTAACCCCCGTGTTTGGTTCCAGCATCACCACGTCTGGACACCTCTGTGAAACATCCCAGTAACCAGGGCACAAAGGACCCCCCAGATCCCTCGCAGTTCTCCAAAAGCCACTGCATTTCCACCTAGATCTGAAATTTAACAAAACCTTACAGAAGGCTTGGGCTGCTGTGCCCTACTCCCAGCTACCTGTGACTTCACAAAGCCCTGGAGGCAATAAAAAGCAGCTGGCACACAGAAGAGTAAGTGAAACGAGTCATCATGCCATAATGAAGACAAAAAATTTACAGGTATTTTGCTCCCATTGGAACACCTGGAAATTCCCTCACTTCTGGGCAACCATTGGTCATTTTAGATCAAGCCTTGGACACCCTGCGTTCCTGGAGATGGGGCCAAAATTCCAGCCCCAACACTGCTGGCTCTCAGGTGGTCTGCAATTTGTTTGATGTGATCACAGTACTTTCCTACCTGCCAAAGTTTCCCAATATTTGGGAGATTTTGCTTTCCCTGAAAAAACTTGCAGATTCTAAAGCAAGAAAATTCACACAATACCATTTTTTTCTTTTTAAATTACATTTCAGAGAGAACTCGAGTACATTTGTTTTGGTGGAAATGTTGTTTAAGATAAAGCATAGTTTGCCCACGAGCATATTAAATTTTAAAACAAATTTGTTTCTTAGTGATTAAAATAAAACAGTTTTTACAGCTTGTTTTGCAGTCTGCAAAGTAGCCAAATGGAACTGAATGTAGAAAAAAAAAAACCAACCCAAAAAACAAGAAAGCCAAACACACCAAACAAACAAGAGAAAGCCCACACCATACAGCAAGGAGCAACTGCCTCACTCAAATCCAAACACACGGGACTACAGCCTCTAAAAGCACAATGCAACAGTTACAGCTGGAAAGAAGAAACAAACTTATTTCTTCTTATGGGGAAGGAACCAGAGTGCATAAAGAAAAATAGAGTGGTGTAGAAAAGAAAAAAAACCACACTTCAAAAATGAAATAAAGTGATTTCTTTCTTACATTATAGTTGTTCAAATTGTCACTTGCTATAGGAAGGCCCATGTATCGCTCCGTGTATATTGAATCTGTAATAAAAAAAAAACAAAACAAAACAAAACAGATGCAGAATCTGCTGCTTAATTTTCAATCTGTCTACCAGAAATTTTATCCACTGATACAAACAATAAAAATGCATACTGGAAATTGTGGGAAGCATGAGGCGGGGGAATGATAAAAACAGGCTTTCCACAATGAGGCATGTAGGTAACCATCATTATTCAGAATATTTAATCTTCTTGTTGCCATGGACACCTGAATGCTGAATATTAATAAAGTACTTTGTGTCAGTGTTACCTTATTGTTATTCTTTCAGTAATCCGAAGAAAATTACTGAAAATCCTGCAGTAAAGGTCTAGCATTTGAAAAAAATCTTAGATTATTTTATCTAAATGTTTCCTACTACAAATCTAAGATGAAAACGTAGCAGTAATTAGGACTCAGCTTCGCTCTATGTTATATATAGTAAAAATTAAGTATCTCTGATTTTCCAGAGATTTTTCAGCATGGTATCATATTACCTTTTTTGCAGATTTGCTGCTTTATTTTAAGCCATACAAATCAACACTCCGTTGCCATATTCTAATGTCCATGTGACTTTTCATCAGCGTGGCCACACTGGGTTGTTTTTGTTTGTTTTTTTTTTAAATGTTGAATATGCATGATTTCATAACCCTTTCCTTTATCTAATCAACTAAAAGTGGAATTTTAGGCATCCTGATCTTCACTAAAAAAAAAGAAAAGTATTTCCTGCGTACTGTAATATTCACATCCAAAACATTATGAAAACATCCCTACAGCCTCAATGCACTACTGCTAATACCTGGGAGTATGATTTGATCTGTTGAATTAGCCAGAGCACATCACGCACTATTATACAGCCTCTGTGCTAGTTGCAGAACGATAAATTATGCCTTATTTAGCAGAGGTTTGCCAGGAAAAGCTTTCCCTTGAATCTTTTTGGACAAATCGAAATAAGAAAAAATGTCAAAATGTGGTCACATTGTACCTAGCACATATTATATTTTTAACTGTACATAATTTTTTTAATCTGGGAGGAGGCCCCCTATAACTTTATTTATAGCCTCGTTCAACCACAACCTTATATACTCGGAGCTTGAAGCACGTTCAGACTTGTCCACTTGTTCAGGTTTTCCTCACACCAAACTATTCTTAAGATTATTTAGATTTATAAAATCCAAAATTTACACTCTAAATGGAAAAAGACAATTGAAATCCTATTCTGTTACTTTGAGACAGTAAATTACAATGCAAGTTTGACGCTAAGCCTCACAGTTTGTTCTTATAAAGAGTGAAGTAGCATTTTGAAGAAGCAAAGTCTAATAGCAATGGATTTCTGACACACAATACTGGTCTTGGAACACACGGCAGCTTTGGAAAGCTAACACAGACACATTACAGCAATACTACAAATATTACAATAATTTAGCCTTCATTAAAGGTTAAAGATATTACCTGGACTTTTTAAAGTGGGAAATAAGATTTAGGGAATTGGTTTAATTCTGAAATGCAGTACACAAGAGTTCATAAAAACAGACCAAGTGGCATTTACATGGCATCTAGTAGATAATCAAAGTTCCACGCGATGAATCAACACTTTGCAGCATGTGCACTGCAAGACATATGGGAATCCTTGTAACGAGGAAGCCATCACATACCATAATATTGCCAACGTGACACGGGGGCAACCGCTATTCCACACTTGAACACGCCGCTTCCAGAGCCAAGCACCATGGAGGTCACATATCCCCCATACGACTGAGAAGAAAACATTGCTGTTATTTTAGTCGGAAAGAAAAGGATGGGGCCCATCTGCTAAACGGTTCATCAGACATTTATAGGCTCAGCGTTTTTCATATTAATGAACGCCATTCTGAATTTGGGTCAGATCTCACCCTGCCTGCTCAGTGGGGGAAAGAGGCATCAAACAGCGCATGGCAGCTGCGGCGCTGATGAATGAGGACTTGCTGGGGAAAAAGGGCGCAAACGCCGCTGAACTGTGACTCAGCGAAGGATGACAGTGTGTGGTAGCACCGTAGGCAGCAGCGAAAGACAGGAAACAAGACACTGCCGAACCGCTGCGTCCCTCTCCGTGCTGGGGGCGTGGGTGGAAGCAGAGCTGGGGCCCACAACGCGCCTGATGAGTAGCTGCACCAGGACATCCAAAAATTTACAACTCCCTCAGAGCGGGCCTACGGCAGCTCACTTGCTAACTCTCCTCCAAAGCGTCAAGAGCAAGACTGTGACTGGAGAGCGAAGGATCTGGTGCTGCGTCTGTGGGAGGAACTGTGCAGCGACACACTCCTTGCTATGCACAGAAAATTCACTCGCAGTCTAGCCTGATACACAGATGAGTAAATATCTGACACACTTGAGCATCCAGGCAGCGAGATACCTAAACAATGTCGCCAACCGCCCAAACGACTGCCCTCACTAGAGTTTGAAGGGGTTATTTAGGAAAATGTGCCCACCCACAGTCAAAAAGAAGAGCAATTTTTGGATCTCATTCCTGTCTTGAAACCAGATTACAGGCAAATGGAACTGTGTCTTAGTTCAGAGCCCTTAAACGTTTGCTCCAACTTCAATGCTTAAGTCCTCCCAGTGAGATCAGCGAAGTAAAGCATGCACTTAGTGATTAAACCCACATATAAATATGTTGCCTAACCTGGCCACCATAAAGATATTACTGACAAACCTATGGCAAACAAAACTAACGTTCACAGGCGACAGGCTGACAATGAGCGGCTGACAACCTGAAAACTCAAGAGATAAAGAAAATCTTTTTGCCCACAGGATCAGCATCCAGCATGTGTAACCTCAACCTAGCTCCAAACAGGACTGCTCTTCAAGTACTCATCCTGAGGCTCATAAGGAGTAGGATGCGAATGCATTAAGTCCTCCATTTCTGCAGAAAGAATTTCCCTCCCACTAAAGTAAATACTGCTACTTTTGACTTCATGTAACACAGGGATGCTTATCCTCATAAGAAAAGTTAATAAAGGCACCATCATCACCATCTTGCCCTCAAGCAATTTACTCACTGGTGCCTGTCACCAGCAGTGACCAAATTTCAGCTAGCAATTTAATTCAAGATCCTGCGTGCCATCCTGCATATAGTTAAATATAGCATGCTTAAACAGCTCATGCAAGAATACTCCCTGGGACACCAGAAGCAGCAGTGAAACAGCAGCCCGGGACAGAGAAGTGTTCAGAGTTTTAGTCAAATACATACCACTAACACTACCTACATACTTAGCCTTGCAGCTGAGGAGGTATGTATATGCTATCAAACACTCCCCTCTACTGTGACAGGTTTTAAAGACACATCAAGTCAGAGAAATTTGGCCTCTGGTTGGAAATACTGCTGAAATAAATGGCCAAGCACAACAATACAGCAAATTTACATATTCTCAGGCTGCTAGTAAAAACAGAACAACTGTGCCATGCAGCTGGTTCACATGTAATTTTACACCTTTTTAAAAAAAATTCGAATCATCCGACTAATGTAAAAAGACACTAATGAGTATACACAGGGATATTATTTTATTTTTTTAAAATATTCGTTCATCTTGTACACAGGAACTTGACAGTACCCCTTTAAACAGTTTTTAATCACTCTAGTAGTCCTAATTTCTGTCTCAAAGGTTCCTGCATACTTACAAAGGGCCGATGAATACAAGCACTTGTAAGATGTACTTCATCAGTTCATGGACTGTGCCATGACCCCAGAGGTGCCTCACACTAAGCACTCCAGCACCTCACACACACAGCAGCACAACAAATAGTTGTTACAATTAAATAATAAGCCAGCCAAACTTATTTAAGTACTTACCCAACCCCAAATAGCTATTCTGTCCTTATCAACAAAGCTCATTTCAGAAAATTGTCTAAAAGCAAACAGAAGAATGAAATGCTTAATGGATTGCAGGTATTGGCCATTACACTGATGTGCCGATTTTCCACGGTATCTGCCTCTTTCTATTGTACAAATAAGCATTTCCCACTTCATCATAGGGACTGCGTATGAAAACATTCAATACTTCAGGCATGTATGTCTAAGAAATTCAGAAAAACATCTGTGCATGTGAAAACCCCAAACCTGGACACTCTGTAAAAGCCCTCAAACCACGCTCACTGACATTTGTATTGTATTAGATTAGATTTCATTAGATTTCACCACCTGTCTTGCCTTTATTTTTTAAAAAAGAGGAGCAACACTCAAATTGCAGCAGCAAGAGACAGGCTGACACCTGTACACCCAGTCAGGGTTTGAAAAAAAAAAAAAAAAGATTCTGAAATACTATTTGTTTAAACTCCTTAAAATTTCAAAAACCCCAAAAGCAAACCCCATGAGATCACTTCTTTATGATTCTGAGAGATTCATACTGACTTCATTCGGTTTAGTGAGGTTCTACAAGCATAAACCAAGTGACAAAGATGAACTATGATGCAAAGGCTGAGTAGTTCATGCAAATAACTCTGTTACAACAGAAACTTGAAAAAGCTTGGAGTAAAACTTCCAGCTCCAAGTTCCTTGGTAGCATGCTCTTCTACTAACGTGACAGCTATCATCTCTACAAAACCAGGGAGATGGTAAATTTGTATTACAGCATTAACTCTTCTCTCTTTTTAAGCATAAAATGATGGCTGGCCCATAAATGACATACTTCAGCATCCAAAAGTAACGTAGAATTTAGTTATGTTTGTGCTGTAATTTCAAGATGTCCATTCAAACCCTTCATCCATTTTTCCCCCCCCTACACAATAAGCCCAGAAAAGAAGGAGCAGGTGTTGACCATTTCACTGTAGCTCACCTGGCTGCTTCTATCTGATCTTCCACTTCATATGTTCCCAGCCTTCGGTTTATTGCATGCATAATTTTATCTCCTTGGTATCCACTTCCTCTGCCATCGAAGCTGGCCACAATGATGTGCTCGGTGCTTGCAAGGTAAGTAGCCCAGCTGATCCGGAAGGCGTAATCTACTTTCTGACTACAGGGTCCTGCATACCTGGGTGAAAAATGCCACAGAATTCAGGCATTTATTCTCCACCTATTCTCACATCAAGCATTTGAAAGACATTTACTGCTGACAAAGAAGGGCAAACTTTTAAACTGAGCAAACAAGAAAAGTGTCACTGACTGACTCCAAACTGCTGCTTTGCCAGGGCATTAAAAGCAACACGCTTTTTTAAAATGTCAACTGTTAATCAAGAAAGTAGACTGGATTTTATTTGTTTTATTGCTTTCTGCTCTAATAAGAGACTTTCATTACTTCGGCTTTAAGCAGCTTATCAGAAACCCAAACCAAATTCTTTTTTGTGTTGGCATATCTAGTCATCCAAGTTTCAAAGTGATGTTCTTTAACTATTTTTGTTCCATTTACCCATAATTTCTTTGGTTGAAGTCTGAAATCAACAAATAGCTTTCATTTGGGAAAATGAAAAAGATCTTTTTCTGCACTTTAAGTGTCTCATCAGTGTTCCCTACAGTCTAAACTATTTCGTATGCAGGCTGAGAAAATGGAAGCAAAACTGTAATTGTAACTTTTGGTTTTAAAATATTCGGAAGCACTTGAGCACTATGAAATGACACTCTGAGTGCCTGCATAGTAAAATTCTCTTTGCAGTGCACTTCTGTAGCAACTAAGTAAGATATAGAAAAGTGGCTCTTATGGCTCATTTATAACCCATTTTTCCCAGTTTTAAAAGCAAAGAAAAAACTACTAGGAATTCCCTCTATCAAGCTTTGTTTCTATACACTATGGATCCTGACATTTCCAAAGGAATTTCTCCTATCAAGATCACAATGAAGCAGAGCTAATCCTGACAAAGGCCCAGGTAAGTCAATAAAAACAGAATCAAAACCAAAATAAGTCTTCAGCAGCAAAGAGCACTGCCTACTCATTAAAACATTCAATAGGGATATCAAAACGTATTACAGTGCTACCAAATTACATTATATAAAGATGTATCTAACAATTAACAGCTAGTTTCTTCCTGGAGTCAGCTTTTCATAAAAAGAGGAAAAGGTTAGCATTTCTATTTTAACGCATAGCTAAATTTCAGTAATTTCCAGTTAGAAGCAAGCAGACCAGCATGAACAGAAGTGCCTGTGGAAGAATGGACCAAACGGCACATGCTTATCGTCTTGAATTTACGAAAATAGAGCAAATGCAATTCTGACCACAGGATGCAGTTTTCCAAAACCAGTGGACAGTCAAATATAATGGAGAAAATGCAATGTCACACTCGCTACTTCAGCTTTAGGATACACAGCTTATTTGAGGTTTCATTCTGGAATGCAATTTCATTGAATGTGATTTCATTGAATGGCGAGGTAGACACGCTGGAGGGGAGGGATGCCATCCAGAGGGACCTGGACAGGCTGGAGAACTGGGCCCAAGCCAACCCCATGAAGTTGAACAAAGCCAAGAGCAAGGTCCTACATCTGGGTCGGGGCAATCCCAAGCACAAATACAGGCTTGGTGGGGAATGGCTGGAGAGCAGCTCTGAGGAGAAGAACCTGGGTGTGCTGATGGACGAGAAGTTCAACATGAGCCAGCGATGTGCGATCGCAGCCCAGAAGGCCAACCGTACAACCGTATCCTGGGCTGCATCAGAAGAAGTGTGGCCAGCAGGTCAAGGGAGGTGATTCTGCCCCTCTACTCCACTCTCATGAGACCCCACCTGGAGTGCTGCATCCAGCTCTGGAGTCCCCAACATAAAAAGGACATGGACCTATTGGAGTGTGTCCAGAGGAGAGCCACGAGGATGATCCAAGGGCTGGAGCACCTCTCCTATGAGAAGAGGGTGAGAGCGCTGGGGCTGTTCAGCCTGGAGAAGAGAAGGCTCTGGGGAGATCTTACTGTGGCCTTCCAGTACCTAAAGGGG